TTCATAACTTATTTTCCGCATTTTAATCACCAATTTTTCATTGGCTTTAGGTTTTCTAAGGGTGGAGTTTGTTTTTTAGTCCCATAAACGTTAAATTTCAAATCTTATGGGATTTATATCCCATAAAATGTCGTAATTTATTTTATTTAATTGATTTAAATCTTCGGACAAAAAAAAATTGCTTTAAAGGATGTCTATATTACAATATTTAATATAATGTTTAATTTAAAATATAAAATAGTTGATATGGATTATTAATGCTAACATGTTGATGTGTACAAAGTTAAGGGTTTTAATCAAAATTTAAAAACTAATAAGGTTTGAATCAACGGACACTAGTGACTAGGAACCATATCTAAAATGTCTCTTTAATTAAATACTTGCTAATTATTCATACAATTCTTTATTCAATCATTACTGCAGCCCAGAAAAGTATATGCAAGCATCGAAATAGTTGGATTAGCTAGCTAGGTATTTCTGACGATCAATTGAGTTGACTGGATTTTTGCAAAGATCTGTAGATTATCTCTAGCTTGTCCTTTGTACTTGCAAAGGAAAACATGAATTGTATATCATTTTTTATACCAAATTACAAGTGGGGTATCAATGTCCTTCTGTAAACACAAATTTTTTGCAACAAATAAAACAAGAAAACATGTACAAAATAATAAATTGTATTAATGTAAGGTTGAGAGTTACAATCTCTTTACAAAGTTTGAATCTTTTGATTTGATCTCAGGGTTGTAGAATTGTGTGTGGGCTTGTTGATCCTAGGGTCGAAGTAACTCGATCTCAAACCCATGAATGCTGCAAGGATTTGGCTTGTGGCAATGGAGAAACCGGCACGTGTAGTGGTGCTTGATGGTTCTTTTCGGGTGTGGCGAAGAATGTGGAGTGCTTTCTGAATCTTTTGAGTGTTTAAGAGTTTTGGAGTTTGAGCGTTGGGGTATGTGGATGTGTTTCTGAAGGGTCCCTCCTTTTTCTTGGAACCACATATTTATAGGCTCTGGAAGTTTTGATTAAGGCTTAATTTGGTTTTGATTTTAGACTTGATTAATTGACAAAATAACCGCTTGGTTCGGGATTTGACTTCGTAAGATAATCAAATAATCAATCACATTTCATCCTTGATTTGACATTTCATTTGTTTTAAATTTAAATCAATTAACTTGTTTGATTTAAATTAAAACTAATTAAAAAATTAATAAAGATAATTCCTTAATTACACTCCGTCGAATGTCAACGCATGACACCTTCAGTGACTCGTCCAGTTTTTTATGTCATATGTCATGTGTACAATTTGTGAGACACATGGAGTAATGCCACGTATGCCCTAGCACGTCAAAATTAAATATATTGTTGAATATTTAATTCACCAAAATTTACATGTCTACAACTTCACAAAGAAAGTGTATGCGTGTGTGTGTGTTGTCTTACGTTTTGTAACTATTGGTTAAATAACTAAATAAGCAACAGTTGCATATTTCATTCTCCTTTAAAGATTATGTTTTTTTTTTCTTATATATAGGAGTTTATTTGACATATAGAACAAATTAAGGAGAAAGTCAATCAAGAAGATTAGTTCATTTGCGTGCATATGCCTGGAGGACGCTCAAATTACGTAGACATGAGCAAACCAAGGTTATAAAGTTGAGTTTAATTAAAGAGTGAATAAGAAGAAACTATATATGTAAGGGATTTTTTTTCTTCTTTTTATTGGAGTTATGTAATATTTAAGTGTAGCACGTTGATCAGTGTGATAAATTTATATGGTTTTATAAGAATCAATTGGGGGATTTACCTGGTGATTATGATAGTTTTCAGCAATTTGATGTGTCCTGTGTTCAAAAAATCTCCATCATCCTTAGTGTAAATTAGTGTAAAGCAGCATTTGTACTAAAGAAATTCAAAACCAAAATAGAAATAGTGAGAGAACTACGATATAATAGAGTGTTATTCAAAGGCGTTACCTTCGTGAATAATTCTCAACAAAGGTTGCAGCTTAAAATTTGGGTTATTTGAGATGCATAAAAATTAAAGAAGGAAATGACGTTTAATTAAAAAAAAGGTGTTGTAGGCATAATTTACTGAATAATTTGGATTTTTTGATTTCGTCGGAGTAAGTATCTTTGCCCAGTATGTATTCCCATCGGGTAGAATTTGTCAGGCAAACACTAATTTCTGATAGTATATGTTCCTTGAGAACCCACGTAAATTTATTTATTTCACATCAATAGTGAATCAAATTGTTGTTTGATTAGTTAATTTTTATATCAGTGTTGTTTGATTAATTAAGATGATCAAAATTGAGAGGGGGTTGGAGGCACCGTGCGTACGTGCGTGTGATTTTCATAGTAATCTTTTAAAAGTGTGAGACTTCGTGTCTACATTTATGCTTGTGTTGTGTGAGTGTGAATGAATGAGTGGAGGTGTAAGAATTAATTAAGATGCAAAGATGTGATTGTGTGATGTTAGGATTTGTGATGATAATAAGTTTTTTAGTATTCTGGGAACACAACTTTGTATATTAAATGTCATAATTAATTAGTTTGATTTTTTTAAGTATCTAACCACTCTTAGTGTACCAGATTGTATTACCGACGTATTGAAAAATTCATCTCCGATGACGATGATAAGTAATATTGGATAGCAAGAAGTGATCACAAACATTGGGTCCCTTTTGGTGTTGACGGAACCAGCACTCAGACCCCACCCCCATAGTCCCCCGTCATCATTTTGGCCTCAACCCATTAGAGTTCTTGAGCCATTGCTGCTTGGTTGGTACGTGGTCAAACACTCTTAAAGGTACTCTATGGCTCTCCCGGCAGCCCAATCCATGGTAAGTTCTCAGCTCTCTCTTATTGTTTGCACTGGATGGTAGAACAAGTCAGAACTTGTGTAGGGTTATTCCTGTCACTTGAGCAACGTTAAGTAATAAATGTTTTAGTTATGTAATTGAGTAATGCTTGGAGATTAAGTTTGTAGACAAAATTTGCAATCTAAATTATGTGTCACCAATAAGAAATGAGCACGTTTATCAACACTTAAGTAATAATTCAATCACTAACTTCTAAGTCATTTAGTTTACTAAATTTTATCTACAAATTTAGTCTCCCTAGTATTACTATATGTAATTATAGTATTTTGCCACTCAATATGATCACGTGACCATGTTAGATAATAAACGTTTTGGTTATGTAATTGTAGTATTTTGTCACTTAATATGATCATGTGACAGTGTTAAATAATAAATATCTTGATTATGTAATTGTCGTACTTTGCCACTTAATATGACCACGTGAACCTCCTTATGAATATCCGTCTCTACAACAAATATTGACACCCCCATGATATTTCTTGGTGTGATGAAAAACTCTGCAACTGATGCACTACCAGCACCATGAGTTTCTGGTAATTCCAAATCACTACAAGATAATAATATAACTCATCAAATGTTGAATGGATGATATATTTAATTTCACCTTTTTTATCTAAAAAATTAAGTGCTTAACTACCACACCCGTTATGTAACATTACACCTAGAAGTCAATTGGTAGTACTAAATTTATAATATTCCAATTAATACCCTGAAAGGCAATAATTTACTAAACTTTTTTTTTTCCAGAAAACACATCATGCATGGAAAAGAGACTCCTAGGGTTTGATATATGACATCTTAACACCACCTGAGCCCATGCATGATACATACCAGTATTATTAGGGTATATAGGGATTGCCATGCCCTCATGTGTACATCACAAGACCACAATTGTTTACATGACACCAATATTGTATTATCATTTAATCCACATTTTCATGTAATTAGCACGTGGGTCACATTCAAATAATTTATTATTCCCAGCTAAATCAACAAGATTGAAATGTATTTATACAATACTAGATGCCCACACACAAAGTGTGTGAAATTTTGTGTGTGAAATATTTTACTTTTGTTTTTAAAATTGAAGGAGAGAGGAAGAGAGTGAGAGAGAAGTGGGAGTGGGGAGAGAGGGAGGGAGGTTTATTTTTTATTTGTTTACTTTTAAAAAAAATAGAAATGATAAAATCACCTGTATGTGAGGTTTAAAAAAAATTAAAATTTTGTTTTGTGAAATTACATTACTATTCTTAACTTTTTTGTTGTGATAGAAGACAAAAATGTCTTTTCATCCTATATTTTGGTTAAAAAAAAACAGTTTATTAATATGTAGTTTAGATAAACATTGTATACATATAGCAATCCATGTCATCTTAATGAAATTTGTTTATCAATGTCATATTTGTTATAGTAATGGCAATATCTGACTCTCAATCTACTCACTTTTATTTTAAACGTCGTACATATTATCTGTCATCGCATTACACGCACATATTCCGGCTAGGTGATGGGTTTTTATACATCACATTATAAAACTAAAACGAATTTCGATCCCTACACTAAGCGATGAAAAGATTGAAGTGAAAATTATGTCCAATTGATCTTAGTCTCTCCCATGGTTTCTTGGTGAAGTGGGGTCCTTGTCAAAAATTGGCGGTATTATGCGCTACAAAAGCATGACAACTGAAGCATAAAGCTTGTTCCCACCCCAGACTTATCCGTCTATATCTTTTTGTTACCTTGTGTGGTCTGTGGGCCCCACCTCACCTCACAGTACACGTGTCGTTCTCTCTCACGTTTGCGAATTACACGTGTTGGCCTATCAACGGCCCACCTTCCAGTTCGCGTCGTCCTAGGGTTTCCATCACCTCCATATCCCCATGACCTCACTTTCTCTCCCTCTCCCTAGGCTAACCACCACAAAGTCACTCTCAATCCCATGCTCAAAATTAGGCCACCTCCGTAATCATGATTAACGCAGTAATTATACATCTCATAAACTGTCTAATCTACCCCTGATCCCGTTACGTGGCCTTCTACCATTGGTTCCATTGTTTAAAAACCATGCAGGCAACTGCAGCTCGATATTCCCCTTCACATACTTAAAACAGGGGCCCTGCAAGTCTGCCACCTCCAAACGACATTTAAAGCTTTATATGTAAATTGTGTGATATGTAATATGTGCTTGGCTGCAAAGGAACCCTCCGAACCCATAAACCAAAGATGGAGAGCACCGACTCGTCAACGGGCTCACAACAGCAGCAGCTGCAGCCGCCACAGCCACCACCTCCTCCGCTGCCAAACCTCCCACCTGGGTTCCGCTTCCACCCGACAGATGAAGAGCTAGTTGTCCACTATCTCAAGAAAAAGGCCACCTCCGCTCCCCTTCCGGTTTCCATCATCGCTGACGTCGACCTTTACAAGTTCGACCCCTGGGAGCTCCCAGGTATGCACGAAATTAAATTTCTTGCATACGGCAGGTGTATATAAAATTCTTTCTTATAACATGTGTATATATGTTACCGACAACAATAATACTGATTGTATTATGTGTTTCCTTCTTTTTCGTTTTTCTTTCTTGGTTCAGCTAAGGCTACGTTTGGAGAGCAAGAGTGGTATTTTTTCAGTCCTAGGGACCGGAAATACCCGAACGGAGCGAGACCAAATAGGGCGGCGACTTCCGGGTATTGGAAGGCGACGGGGACTGATAAGCCGGTGCTGACTTCCGGCGGTATTCAGAAAGTTGGTGTGAAAAAAGCACTTGTGTTCTATGGAGGAAAACCCCCGAAAGGAATTAAAACCAATTGGATTATGCACGAGTACAGGCTTGCTGATAACAAGCCCAACAACAAACCACCAGGGTGTGACTTGGGCAACAAGAAGAACTCCTTGAGGGTAATCCAGAACTAAGCACTTCTATAATAGTTCACTAATGATATTTAAATTTGGTTTTTGGACCCCATGGTAGAATTTGTACGTACGTTTTATTTGTTAATTTAATTTGGAGATTAATAAATTGAATTAATGTGTTTTTGTTTATGTGTAGCTTGATGATTGGGTGCTGTGTAGAATTTACAAGAAGAACAACACACATAGGCCGATGGATCATGAGAGGGAGGATTCCATGGAGGACATCTTGGGACCGTTGATGCCACCATCTATAAGTCATGTGGGCCACCATCAGAATATGAAGCTGCACCTTCCAAAGTCTAATTTGAGTTATGGGCCGCCTTTCATGGAAAATAACCAAATTTTTTTTGACGGGATGATGAGCAGCACCGACGGATCGGCTTCTACTCATCAGCTGCCACAAAAACGGCCAATAGTTCCATCCCTGTACTGGAATAATCAGGAGGAGGATGACCAGACGGCTGCTGATCCTTCATCAAGCAAGAGAATACAACTACACCAATTGGACACTGGTACTAATTCTAATGGTGATGGGATTAATGGCGGTGCTACTAATAACAATTCTACTTCTATTGCCAATCTACTTTCCCAGCTTCCTCAGACTCCACCATTGCACCAACATGCAGTATTGGGGTCACTTGGCGACGGTCTATTCCGGACGCCGTATCAACTGCCTGGGAGGAATTGGTATTCTGACTCCAATTTGGGATAGAGGGTTGATGAATTTGATGATTATGGCACGTATTGAGATCGATGGATCGATTGGCAAAGGTTTGAAGAAGATTACGATGATCATGTTAGATATATTTATGCTCTTGTTAATTAGGGGATCATAAATAGGGTATAAATTGTTTGTATAGATTTTGGATACTTAGGGGAGATTGAGATTTTGTTTCTTAGGAAATTAATCAAACGGTCCAGATAATGATGAAGAGTGGCATCAGCAAATTCCTTTGACAAAAAGGTAGCTGCTATAAATTCAGGTGAGGTGTGTTCTGCTGATAGAAATATAAATCTATATTTATTTTTGCTCCCTTTATTTTTTTCATATGTAGAGACGATGAGAGAAAAGGAGGATGAGGTGCTTGCTTTTGTTGTAGAAAAAAAAAAGATTAGATATGTTATATTTTTCTGTAGAATACATTAATATACACTTGTATATTAAACCTTATTGTAGAACTTCTATTTCTTCCCAATTATATTTATAAACTAAAGAAGGCAAAAATTGTACTACTGTGTTTTTATTTCTTTTACATCTTTATACTTTAACTTTCATCTTGATCATCAACCTCATATATATGTGCTTGAAGTTCTATACATGATTAATGTGTTGTGATCAGACATAAATTATGCTAGGTATAGCTAGCTAGTAGTTTCTTGCTAGGTTTTTGGCTTTCTCTCGCATCGAACACCATGAACCCACAAGGTAAGGATCTCTTCGTAATACACCATTTTCTTCCTCTCCACATCTACTTAAAATAAATTGTAAAAAGAAAGAACATGCAATCTGAAGGTGAAGTCCATATTATCTATACGCCTTTGTGGTATTAATTCTTCCTTTTCATTTTTCCAGATTTTCAAATGACTTGTTTGAGGTGAAGCAGTAGCAGTTTTATATGTATAATTTCACATGTACGCTTCGCATATATTCGCATATTCAAGTTAGATTTTACGGTAATATCATACACGAAGTAAAAAATTAAAAAGCTATCACCAGTAGTAGACAGTATTACAAGAAATTTCTTCTTAATAATTGGTTGGAAAAGAATTATAAACATGTAACTAATTTGTAGTATGAACATGGGGTTCCATTGCTTTTAATTAAATCACGCATGATTTGTTGTCAGATCAGATATTATCATATCGGTATTAAGGTTAGTCATGCTTTGTTGTCGTTAATTCTTTTAGTCACGGTTAACTTCGATAGTCAAAGTCTAATTACTTTCTGCACCCTTCTCCGTTGAGTGGTTCAATGGTGATTAGACTATGAAGTGTGGTCTGTCGATTTACTATTGCATTTGAGAGAATTTCAGCACTAAATAATTAAGTATTTGTATTAGTTTCCGCGCTAGTCGAAATCTTTTTATCCGATTTCTCTCATAATCCCAGGCTCCAAAACATGCTCCAATATCTTCAATCACATTCAGTTTTTCATTTTTACTCTATCCATTTTATGAAATTAACTAATCAATTACATGAAATCACTCATTTGAAAATAAGAAATACATATAATTAAGCATACAAAAGTAAGATAATTCAAAGAAAACAAATTGGAAAGCTCAAGTTCTCTTTTTGTGACATACCAAGTCACCATTGTGAGATTTTGCATGAAATAATTAGCTTTTAAAATAAGCGGTATGACATTTTCAGAAATGAACTGAACAAATTTTCCTTACAAAAGGGAACTTTATATCTTTCTTATGTCTCTTTTGGAGGTGAAAGACTGAATATAGAAATTAAGGATAAATTGTAGACGTGAGATTAGTTAAGTTTGTTTTTTCTTTCTAAATGCTAGGCTTAGCCAAGTTGGCTAGACTAAGTGTACTCCCCTCTAGATCTGAGTTCGAATTCTTCTCTCATAGTTTGGATAAATTTAATATAAAATATTACTTGTAAAGATTAATCGGAATTGTTAATTAATTAAAGTTATTCTTGATGGATGCTTGTGCAAATTACTTTTGATATCAAATATATATATATATAAGTGGAGATTGTACCCAGGTGACAACCCTTATAATTATTCTGGTTAGTAAGAGAAAATCGCTTTTATTCTTAGTACATAAATTCATATTCGTTTGTTTGTGTTTGTGTGAATCAACATCTTGAGAGAGATAACCCATATTAATTAAGCTGCACAAGAAGAAGCTAGCCTGAAATTTCAAGTATGGCATTGAAGAAAAAATATGAGTTTGCTTTTACCTTAATTTCCTACACCAAACCTCTGATTTATTTATTTATTTATTTTCAATTCATGATATTTCTATCTCCAAAAAGATTTTGAAGATATTTGAGAGAGTGTGTGTCATTTTCTTTCATTGGACTGATAAGACGTGGTTAAGTATATTCCATGACCTTTTCACACAAATTGACAACAAGAGGCTACCTCACAAATGGCTTTTCTTTTGTGCTGACTATATACGCGACCATTCTTGCAAAATCATCTACAGGAATCATTATCTTAAAACCACACAAATTAAATACCCTTTCATTACATACCTCTCTAAGGAAAGAGTACAAAACAACTTTATTAAATTTCGCATCATTGCTGCTTAATTTGGTGCAGATCATTGCGATCATGAAAATGCGCTATTATCTTCTTTGATCCCATTGTGGAAGATGCTTTCGCAAACCCTAGAAACCCACCACACATCTCGCCCCATACATTACAAGGTTACAATTTCCTAATTGAAATTATTTTCTTCCAAGATTTCTGAAACATTAACATCCTTCACATGAATATTAAATAACCAATCAGGCGCACCAAGTTTCATCTATGAGATGCACCATTTGGATTAACAAACCAAACCATCAAGTGAACCGCTCTCTATTACATTAACAAGGAGCAGAGGAATTCTCAACTGACCCCATATGTTTGGCTGTCTAAACTACATTGAAGACAATGCCATCAATAGTTTTCATTTCCCAGTTCTTCCCGGAGCATCCCGTCTCATATGCTTTCTCAAACATATATATACTTATTTGACAATTTTTTTTCTTTTTTTTATATACAAGCTGATAGCGGAGAGGAGAATTGACCTACCAATGACCTCTCGTGCAAAGTTAAATATTCTTGTGTAACATTCTTATGTGCAAATATTTACAATCTTGGCCTTGGAAAATGTTCATAAGAAAAGAGAGCAGACACTTTTTCTTCTTCATGCTTTAAAAAGAAAGCAGATCTAGAATTTAAAAGCTGTATGATTAAAATTAATTATTGTCCTTCATTTTCAAGACTTTTTCATTCTAGAAGACAACAAACAAAATTAAGTTGAATAAATCAATCAGACAGACAGAGAGAAAACCAGTTTCTCTATCTACCAAAAAGAAGATCCTGCCGATGCTAAAGGGTAGGTTGCAGTCTGAGTTTATTTGTTTTGGCTGGTAGAGTGAGTTTGATGAAAACCGAATGACCTAATTCGAATGGTTTTTTATTTTGAGGATTGCAACTTAGCAATTCTATTACCGTGATGAGTAATAATGTCAGACTGTAAAAGAACGTCATTGACAGCGGCTACGGACTCAGAGTCAAGAAGCTCCTGTTCCTCAGCTCCTCCTGCATTTACCCTAAATTCGCTCCTCAGCCTATTCTTGCTTGCTTGCTTAATTTGGTTTCCTTTTCTTTCTCTGATGTAAATTACATGGCCTTTCTTCGATTTTCTTGGCTGAATTTGGTTTAGCTTTTTATATTAGCACCCCATAAAATATTGAATGCACCTCACATTAAATTTTAATACTAAATGATTTATGTATCCTACTATGCAATATGTTTTAAAAATAAAAAAATTCTAAATAAATCACAAATCATTTTTACTATTTATCTTCATCAACTATCAAAACTCTTCCCACTCTTCATTTTTTTAAGGAACTTTCATGAAAAGGGCTTGGGCTAAGTTTATTTTAACCAAAAACCATACTATAACTTTATTTAATGAAAAAGTAATAAATTTTAATGAAAAACCCGTAAATTGTAATAAAAATGACAAAAAAACTTAAATTTTAATGAAAATGACACAATTTATAAAAAATAAAAAAAATTACGTGAGAGACCTGTACACTGTTTATGAAAATGAACACTATTTATGAAACTGAACGGTACTATACTATTTATTGGTTCAATTTCATAAATAGAGCCTAGTTTTTTGTCCACTTTTATAAATAGTGTTTAGTTCTTGGTCAGGTTTCATAAATAGTGCCTAGTTATTAGATCTAGTTTCATAAATAATGTATAGTAATTGATATAGTTTTATAAATAGTGTCTCTTTCTTAGTCCAGTTTCATAAATAGTGTCTAGTTATTGGTCCACTTTCATAAATAGTGCCTAATTCTTGGTCATGTTTCATAAATATGGTCTAGTTCTTACTCCAGTTTCATAAATAGTGTATAGTCCAGTTTCATAAATAGTTTCCACTTATTGGTTTAGTTTTATAAATAATGCCTAATTCTTATTTTCGTTTCTTGAATAATATCTACTTATTGGTCAAGTTTTATAAATAGTATCTAATTCTTGGTTCAATTTCATAAGGTTTGAAACTTACGTCGTTTATCCCCATTTTGTACTTGACCATCTCCTACGTTATCCCACTTTGTCACTTGTCAATTGTGTCATTTACACCATGTGACGGTATTTTTTGATGTGAATACTCTTACAACTAATTCATTGTTTCAGTGACACAACCGATGGTATAGATAATTGTTTGTTAAATAGTTATCACATAGTATCACTGATTGCAAGAAGAATCCCTTCTCTAATACAAATAACACATTTTATGGCATAAATATGCCATCACTTAACGTTCTGTGTCAATAAAATAAAGATATGTGAATAAACATATACACATATATTTATCTTTTTGTCTCAAAACATCAGCTTGACGACATATTCGTATTGTGTACAAATAAATTTCTCCTCTTCACATGTCGATGTCCAATGCATAAAAAATCATAGCCAAAAATTGAAGCACCCAAACGAAAAACAAACAAAATTTTGTCTGCCATATAAGAAAAAACAGAGGCAATTTGCTGATGTGGTGGTGTCTTCCTAATTGCTTAAGAGTAGTTGGGCCCACCACGACCTACCAAGTGGAAGTTGTTTGATGGAGTTTTTTGGGTGGTGGTGGTGGTTGGGGAGGGACGGGCACTCGGGGCGATTTGGATTTTTTTATTTTTTATTTTTTTTATCTTTATTATTAAATAAAATTAGTGTATGATTTTTTATTAAATTGCAAAGATTTGAAGCCCTTATCGTTAGTTTTCATTTTTTTTATGGTTATTTTCAACTAGGTTTATTTAACAGAATAGAAAGTACAGAGCATTTAGGAAGCATGAATACTACAAATTGGATGAACACAGAGATATCCGATAGCTATAGCAAACCATAATTTTTCATATGAAAAATGCCTACAAATTGCTAAGAGCTTTTGGTTTCATTACAAGGGCCAAATATTGCTTCATCAAATACTACATCAAATAACAACTTAAAAGTTCACATGTATCAAAATCACCATTGAAAATTAATAAGCTACACAGGCAAGCCCTTGCCTGAACAACAGAGTAGAACAAAAAACAAAATCATAAGACGTTTAATTTCTAAGATGTTAGAGTGTGATTCAGATGGTGAAGCAAAAAACTCGAGTCACAGTTCAATGAGCCAACTAAGCCGTTTAAAAATGAACAAAAAACAACAGAGTAGAACGAAAAACAAAATCATAAGACATTTAAAAATGACCGTTACAAGATATGAAAATGTGGGGTGTACATAAAAGGTGGGGTGTATGGAGAAAATGTGAGGTGTATGTTGAGAATGTGGGGTATGAGGGTATTATGGGGAAGTATATGGGGTGTATTAAGATAATTTTTAATTAAAAAAGTAAACGTATGGTGTATTAAGTATGTGAGGTTTATTCAACAATATGTGAGGTGTTAACATAATAAGCCATTTGGTTTTTGCTTTGTTTGTTGTGTTGCCATTTACGATTCAAAATTGGGTTTGATTCCTTTTGCAAAAATGGTGGTGATGGGTTCATGCGTGGCAAGAGAGAAGTGAGGGGAACGATGGGTTGGGTGGGGTGAGGGCCGTGAGGTTGTTTTTTGTTTTTTTTTTTTTAAATTTTATAAATAATATTTTAAATTAATTAAAATAATTTTAATAATTAAATATTTTTATTAGTTGGCACAAGTTGGCTATCATGTCAGCAAAATATGGATCATGCATTTGTCACGTCATCACTTAACAATTAATTTGACATATTAATTAATTGAGGTATGACATTGCAACAAATTCATAAATTAAGGTATGACATTGTAATGTTTAAAATATGAGGTATGAGATTGTAGTGCGACCAATGGTTAAGGTGGTTTTGTGTAATTTACCCTATCCTTTTTTACTTGTATTTTAACTATAATGCTACATCCATATTAAAACCTCACAAAGTCAAACCAAACCAACCCAAATCAAAATTATCATCTGGTGAGAATCTTCAGTACTAGATATAAATGAAGCTACTTTCCTACTAAAAAGGTTAAGAATTATAACTAATTCTAAACCACATTTAGGACATGATTGAATAGTAAAAAAACCCATGTTTAAGCGACACATTAAAATGATTTTCATTATGTTTTATGCTGTTTGGATAATGAAAATGCACAAACTGACTTAAAAGTCTTCATTAAAAAAATGTGGCATAGAAGTCTAACTTAGCAATGACATTTGACAGTTGATTCCGAAGTTGTTCTAACTTCCAGGCAGAAAAATACCCCGACCAATTAGAAAGTACAATTCAGTCCCATGTTTAATGCATATGGTACAAAACTTGTTGGCAAGTACGAAGTTATATCATGCACGCATGTTTCATCTTTCATGCATGATTATGTACTCGTACTAGTGACAATCGATCACACAGTGTGTTTAGTTGTTAGTCATTGATTCATTGTGAGGTTCACTTGTACGTTGTGAGTTCACTTGCATTGCCATCTGATGACCACTTACGCACGACTGTATGGACAACAATTTTTGAAGAATAATATTTGTATCTAGAATGCATGCATATCACCCCTGGCGAATAATATATTTTTATTGTAAAACTTTCATAATTAGAAGCGTATGCTTTTTTAATCTACATTTGAAAATCATTTCTATAATAAAAATTATTCAAATGTGCCTTTATAAGGATGATTTCTAAATAAAAATTAAAAATATTGAACGGAAATTTATACGATAAAACCATGTTATACCAAGGAAAGTGATATGTACATTCCTCTCAATAGAGGGATGCAACCCTTGATTATACTATGTGAAGTGATATATGTTTACACCATTGAATCCGAATCCTCGCTGGATCTTTTTTATAAGGATTATAAGAATTCATGAATTGTGTCTATTTATCGTACATTGTACGGTCCTAAATTATTTTAAATATTTTTATTTAAAATTAAATATAAACAGTACCTGATAAAAACTAACCACACAATATAAAATGAACAAACATGATTTATAAATCTTCAAGATTCTTTCCTGAACAAACATGATTTATAAATCTTCAAGATTCTTTCCAAAACGATCCCTAGATGATCCTGTTGGTACACGATTTTCCACCTCATGCAGAACTTTCTTACGTATGGTCATACCAAACACATGTAAGGTGTTTGACACGTCCCCTACCCTGACCATTCTTCAATTGACACGTCCCATGCATTGACCATTCATCGATCATACTTTGACAAGAATGTTTCCGCTCCTATACATAAATAATAAAAATAATAAAAAGTCTAATATTTGAGACCAAGTCTTCATTTGGTCTCTGAATTCTCTTTTGTGAAGATTTTGATAATTTGTAAATTGTGTCATTTTATCGTAAATTATGCGGTTAGAAATTATTTAAAATTCTTTTATTTAAAATTGAACATAAACAGTACTTGAAAAAAACTAACCGCATAATATACGAAAAAAAGATATGATTTACAGATTCCCAAAATCTTCTTAAAGAGAGGATGCGGAGAGAATCGTGTTGGTTAGTCTCTTAAGTCAAAGAGAATTACAAGAGATATAATATGTAATCGACTGGTCAAACACTCAGAGCCCAACCATTTTGAACTGGGAAAAGGTCTTCCCCTTATGGTCACTCATATACAACCATATAAGCATATCATATTATATATCTTCACAGCCCAAGCACATTACTCGTGATATATATTCTACATTCAAAAGATCAAATTACACAGACCACCATTCTTCTCTTCTCCTTTGGCTTTCAACTTCACAAAATGCAGAAGAACAACCCTCACTATAGTCACATTGGAGAAAGGCTACAAACACTCAACAAGAGTAGTATGGTGGCATCATCATCATCAGTATCATCCCCGAGGCCTCGAAAACAGGTTTGTACGTGCTCGAATCGTCCTGGGTTGAAAAGGTGTAGCCGGCACCAGTATGCAGTGCCGCCGGGAGGCAAAAAGGGGTTGAGGAACTATGGAAAGAAGGAGATTTTGAGGAGGGCATTGAGATCTACTCCAAATCGTAGCTTAAGTCTTCGGTGGTGGAATTTCCAACCAACGCCTAGTCGGCTTTCTAACATGTCAATGGCTTAATGGAGGAGCTAGCTAAAGCTGCTAAACCTTTCTTTTATTAAGTGCTGTTTTTGTTCCATAGAGGATGATTAATTATTTACCAATCTGTGTATATTAATTTTGACTCTGAAAGATTCTTGTTCGGTCAATGCATCTCTCCTGCAAATATGATCAATTCTTCCACAGTTTTTTCCACAAGTATTCTGTAAGTAAAACTATTCAATCTCACAACGAGGCTCGTGTTGATAGGCTAGTAAAATAAGCAATATCGCCAAATCAAAAGACACATCAAGAACATGAAAACACATCTCAATTGTGAAAATTTTATCCAACTTTCCCCAAACTATACATATCACGTACATGTGCATGTTCTGAGATCGGTGCAATATATATACCATAAACAACCAGCCAAGGCATATTTCCACATCGCTAGGTATTTCACCTTTGCAGTCGCGGTCCATCATGGAATCGATCTTTTAGTCTTTACACACACTCATTGAGCAATTTCCCTCATGTATGTATCCGTCTCTGGTCTTCTAGTCGTTTTCAATTTCTTTACTTCTGATGGAAGGGGGAAGAAGTAAAAAAAAAATGTAGCACAGTGTGTAATCTGCAGCTCTTATATACGTAAGGAAATCAGTTTAAAAGGGTTTGTATAATACCTCAAGAGGACCTGTGTCTGAAGAACTGGAATTTGCTTCAGCTGGTGCCTCGGAAATTCTTGCTTCTGATTTTTCATTTGAGTAACTGGCAAACAGAAATTATCAGTAATGTTAGACGAAAATTCTACCGAAGACATGATGCCGCAGCACGAAATTAAACACCTAAACCCTCAAAAACAAACTTTGTAATTACCTAACAAAACCATAGGTTTAAACATTCCAAAAATATTATGGTTGAATGCTTCCTATAGAAATTGAGAGCAATACAAAATGTGACTAGAACATTGCCTGAGGCACATAGAAATATATACCACCCCACCGCGCTCTCCCTATATACTATCTGCCATATATTTACACATCACATTTGCCTCGAATTTGTTTTTTTTTTTTTTTTTTTTAGCTTAACTTCTCCAATCAACTTTTTTTATGAAGAAACATCGACTACGGTGTGTTGATCGATCCATAGGCAGGGGAAGAATTAGAGTAACTTGTTCTAACCCGAGACATAAACAAAGACAAGGATAGAACAAATTAGAAAGAAAACATGAACAATTTTAGTGAGGATAGTTATTAAGCTCTTAAAGGAGGAAAGTAAGTCATGATCATCAATCTTTTCCACTCACTAGTGAAAGTACAAATTATCCATATTAAATACTTACGTCGAGAGTATAGTCACCCAGATTAACTCTACACAGTCCACCCATAAGAGCCTTTGTTCGACAGGGATCACACCATAGGTAACAAGATGTGCAAATGGCCAAAGCTTCCACCCTGCCTGCATAACAAATTACATTACAGAAATATGTCAATTGGTCAAACAAACATTTCTTTTAACCCTAGCTTTAACCAAGGAATATGTAACTACTAAAATTAGCAGCACTTTTAACACACGTAACATGACTCGGACCATAAACCATGAGCACTTTTTATTTCTCTGAAAAATCCTGCTTTTCCTTGCGTGTTTTGGACTTCAGGAAGGAAAATGCATGTTTGGGAAGGAAAAATCACATTTTGGAGTTTACGATTGACAAAGTTTTACCCTATATGCACTACCTGATTCTAAGCCCCAGCCAGAGAAAGCAAACATTATTGTTTAAAGGTAAAAACCCAATACATGTAAATTTTGTAAAGATAAAATTTAAGTTTCTTTAAAACTATACCCGCTAGATAAAACTTTCAGACAAAATAGATTCATGTTCATTTGGACAACAATTTTTAACACCCCAAGGTAAGATAAATGGCACTAAACTCTTATTCCAAGGTTAAACTACATCACAGCGGAAAAGAGAGCTAACACTACATGGACACAAAACAGCTGACACAAATATATACATGCCAGCATAAAGTTTAATACACAAACATTTTTTGATTGACAACTGATGGAACCTTGCTACAAAAATAGTATAAACTAACAATTCAAGTTCAAATTGATTAAAGACTTTGGACGATCTTGACTTTTCAAATGTCCACAAGCTAGAGGACAGAGAATCAATTAAATTTCAGGTCGTTTGACTCGAAACACTGAAGAGCGCATGAAAAGATAGTACTTCAAAACAAAAAGGCAGAAGTTCTCTTACTGTCAGCATCGGCAAAAATGTTGCCTTAAGTTCACTAAAAATACTTATGAGAGATTCAAAACGCAAAAATCCCAAAACTGTAAAGTAAATGCTGTTCCAAATCGCTGCCCATACAGTTTGGTCGAAGGCTACTTTGACAGGAACCACCCACCAGTCTTGGAAAGGAATAAGCTCCTGAAACAAGTTTAAGTTTGTTTAAGGAGCCCAGGAAATTTGTCTTATGGATAAAAAGAAGAAAAGAAAATGTTGACTTCTGAAAATAAACAACTGCAGAAGGAATTTTTTACTTCACAACAGCAACACACCTGGGCAATCCAGTCCCCTACAGAGTACACGACACCACTAATCACCATTTTGGCTAAAACTGGGTTAGTCTTGAGAGCTTCCTCATAAGCAGACCAGTTGTGTTGAGGTGCATACCATAGGATCTCATATAGAGTCCAACCCTGAAATGAGTACCAAACACATAAGTCCCATAGACAAATTGTTAAAAGTGCAGTGCACATGTAAATAGGAAATTATATAATCAAGCAGAGCCAGCCCTATATTAATAAATAGTTTAAGACATACAAATCACAAATCACAGCCTATATGAAATCTCCTAAACATAACTATGAACTAATCAAGAAATTTCCTGAAGATAGCTAAGAACGAATCGGACAGGACCAACTAACTGCTACATAGTCATACAACTCTAACCATAAGAGACAAGTCCTCTTCACCAAATTCAACTTCAGAAATGGCAGCAATCTCCAAGTTTCCCAGCAATCATTTACATCCAATTCTGTTTTCTTTTTCCCATCCATAACAAGCAACTTACTTATCTCACCATGCTTGTTCCATCCATACCATTCTATGACCTTTTTACTCCCCCATGATTGTCATTTTATAGTGCAAAACCATCCATGATTCGACATAACAGTTTCAGATCACGATTCCTTCGGATTAACAAGTTTGCATAATCACAATCCTTCAAAAGCAGTATCCACTTCATTATTTCCTTGTAAGTTATATAAGAACATCCCCTCACTCTCGCCTCCTCATGGATGATCATATAAAGATAACAACAGTTAATCTGAATATACAGCATCAATCCAGCATATTCACAACTCATCATAAGACAGACAACCTGATCCACACAGATATAGCTGATACCATCGCCTAAAATATCGATATTATCCCGATATTTCCATTGAAATTTCCGTGTTTTTGGACTACCGATATTTCCAATATCATCGATATTTTAGACCTTGATAGGAACTCTATGTGGTACTAAGTCACTTATGTATCTTATCATGCAATGTATAAAGTGTAAAATATTGTACTAATTCATTATATATAAATGATTATGGTGTGTTTAAACTTCTTTCATTAATTACTACATATTTTCTACACTCACAATGTTTGCCAGCTCACTATATAATCAACTTAAATCAGTTAAATTCATCATGCAATGCATTTCCTTCCAATTTTTTGTGATAAACTAATAGATAATTGATTAAATAAACATCCTGCAAAGTTTCAATAAAAATTTCTAAGTTTTTCTTACAATTTCCATGGTTTTTATTCAATTTTTATCGATATTGATAATATCCTGATATTTCCATCGAAATTTCCGTGTTTTTTTACTACTGATATTTCCAATATCATTGATATTTTAGACCTTGGCTGATACAGCTCAAGTTTAATCCACCAATTGAACTGAAAATTCTAAATCTTCGGACTCAAAGTCAAAAAGCACTCAGGCAATTGAAACCTCAGTGTAAAAGTGGCCAATGTTAATTACCAAAGAAAAATAAGCAACCTTAAAGAACAAGAAAGGCGAAAACCGAACTTAACTAAGAACCAACATCACCCCAAACCCATCTTCCTTTAGCATAATTCACATCAAGTTCTAACACACAATCACATGAAAACAAATAAAATGGCAATTAATCTCTCTAAACAAAATAAAATGGAAATTAAATACCAAAGAGATTGACTTACATGCCAGTAATCCTGATCGACGGTGATCAACTTAGTGAGAGCAAAAGTACCAGCTGCAAGCATAACAGCGGCATTGATAGTCCTATCTACCAACCTCTCAAATTCCTCACTCTCCCTCTCACTTCAAACCCCAGAAGACCCAAAACCACCAGCACCTTCAAACGAAAGCCTCCCCTCACTTTCTCCGAACCCGCCCACCTGACTCACTAACTCCCCCGGATCCCCGCCGTCGCTATCCGCCCTGCTCGCCGCCACCGCCCCTTCCTTCTGGTCCGTACAGTCGGAGCTCTGAACCGGAATCACACCACTCTTCTCGCTCGACCACCGAGTTCAGAAGCCACCTGCTTTTCTGTTTGTTTCTCGGGAAAGATGGGTTTTTTGGGAGTTTGGAGGTGGGAAAATTGGAGGTCGAGATGGGTTTTGGGTGTGCGGTAATGGGTTTTCGGGGTTTGTGGTTTGGGAGAGAGAGGAAGCTCTGAGCAGCTATAGAGTGGATGGCGACCATGGCTGACCGTTGGATCCGAGACGAGAGAGACCGAGTTGAGTTGAGTAGAGTCTGAAATTTGTATCTCGCCGCGTTGTAATGGCGAAATCCGATTGTTTTCGCATGGTAGTTGTGGCGGGGTATATTATGATCAATTGCGTTACGTTGTATGATTTGAGTTTTTTTATTTTACGTTGGATTCGTAGGGACTTCGAGATGGACGGTGGTAGAAGTTCTTAGATTGATGTTTAACGAGAGAGGTTTAATCGTGTAAGGTTGTAATTCGGGGAAAGAATGTGGTGTAGGGATGTTTGCAGATGTTAAGTTTTTGAGGGAGAATATAGTGATGAAATGCAGTCCACGTGAAAAAAGAGAAAACTAATGACAATTTTGAATTTTATTGATAAAGATAAAATAAAGAGTAAAATAAATAATACCATGATTGATTTTTTAATATAAAAATATAATTTTTCGTTAAAATAAACAGTACCGTAAGTTTTTTTCCCATGAAAAAGGTAACTGTTTGTTTAACCAGAAAATATACTTAAATTAACAAATGTTGGAGATGTAAATTATTGGACGTTGACCTGTATATTCCTAAAGGACGCAGTCGTTCTACTCTTTTTCTCTTTCTTTTTCTTTTTTTTCTTTGACAAAAGTTTCATTAATAAGAACAACTAGATACAAGAGGTGTTAGATGGGTATAATTTCTCCAGTGGATGAGGATTTTCTCCAGATTTTCCTTGTGGGGTATTCTAGGGATCCTCAGAGCAAGTCCACCCCTAAGGACTTTGTGCCAACACCCAGCGCATTTATCCACTCAATTGAACAGTAATAGACCTCAGTGAACAGTAATAGACCAAAGCATCTCAGACCCTAAAAATACACTGGCACCCAGTCTATCTAATATTATATTATTTTATTCATATCAATTAATATTTTATCATTTATTTTATTTTTTATTTTTTCTTCTTTCTTCCTTTCCCTCTCCGATCCTTTCTCTCTCTCTCCCTCTCTCTCTCTCCCTCTCTCTCTCTTTTCCAGCTCACTCCCATGAGCTCTCATTCTCCTTCCTCTTCAAAACCTTCCATTTCTGCACGCCATCCACCCCTGCATCTCCGACGTTGTCGACGTCGTCCTCCTGCATCTCCACACCTTCGACGCCGTCGCTTCGTCCTCCCGTCGTTCTCCTTCCGTGGTTCCTTCCCTCCCGACATCATCTCCCGCCTCGACCAGCTCCGCTCCTCAACCTCCACAACAACTCCCTCTCTGACGTCATATGCCCTCCGACACCACACTGACGTCAGATAGGCCGGTCCCAAGGTCTGTCGATTTTAGGCCAGCCTGTGGACTGGCTTGGGCTGGGTGCCAGTCGATTTCACAGGCTGGAGTGAATTGACAAGGTGCTAGCCTGGTTTTTTGACTGGGTGTTGGGCTCTCTTCTTCCCGGTGGACTTGCTCTCACATTATGGCTATTTATCGTACATCGCGCTGTCAGTTTTCGTTAGGTACCATTTGTGTTTAGTTTTAAATAAATAAATTCAAAATGATTTCTGACCGTACGATGTACGATAAACGGTTAGGATGTGAGGATCTCTAAGATCCCCACAATTTGGATCTGGATGGGATCCAAATCCTTCTCCAATGACCAATTTCTTGATATGGAGATGGTTTGCGCAAGATACAAATAATTTTAAACCCCTATACAGCTACCACAATAAACTACCACAAACAAAAGTTCCGGATAGGATTGTCACAAAGACGGCAGACGAGACAATCCGAACACCAGCAACCTGACATAAAGCCATCAACAACGAGACCACATAAATCGCATAAGCGACACAAATAGATCACCAAAGTAGCACAAAATTACCAACCTAACCCTCTCATTGCGCTACAAATGAAACTTAAACCTAAACTAAAACCAATGACATGTCCACAGGAAAGACAAGAGTACAATCGTGGCAGGAGGCGTGGGCTGCAGCCTTGCAGGACCATATGGGTGTGTCGATGCCTAGGACAAGAAAAGTATTGGGCTTGGGTTGCAGAGGAGATACCACGACGCGCCAAAATCTCCGTCACATCGTCGTCGCCGCCACCACGAGCCCATAGTAACCTGCATAAAATCGTTAGCACCAAAAGATAAGATTTGTGAACACCGAAGCCACATGAATCATAGCATAGCAAAATTGAAATCATTTGTTCATCCTCAATATTCCAATAGCTATCCGCAAACTAAAGCAACAAAATGGGTAAGTTGCAACAATTTTCCAATTCCAACAGCAATGTCCACAACTTGGAGGGCATTTGCTTGGCAAAGAATATTGGTGTGCGGAGCAAAGGAAAGTCACACCAAAGTCACTGCCGACACCGAAGCGACGTTGTAGCCAATCAGCACCACTAACCCAAAACCAAAGAACAAGTTGCATGCCTCAGTAAACCAATTCAACCGATAGAAAGCCTCAATGGCTTCGAATCTGCACAACAAACCACCATGTGTACCCGCACTACCACCGTCATGAACACGACCAACACACTCATTAGTGAAGGAGAAATAAAATTAGGCCATTATCGATGGGAAAGATAATAGCTTGACTCCACCCAACTAGAGAGAAGTGTTGGAGACGCCGATAGGGGAAAAAGAAATGGGTGGGAGGTGAGGTGTAACGCCCCACCCTGAATTATTTGCTTTATTTCGGGAAATAATAATATTAATGATAGGCCCAAACTAAACTCTTGTTTAGTTTGCTACTATTTCTTTTATCTTACTTCTAAATCTCCAAACGATTTAATTCCCATAAAATTAACCATGTTTTTAATTACCATAACAATCAATTAAGTTATCAACTTAATTCCCTAAATTCTTCTATCAAGCAACCTCTAATTCAAAGATTAATTCTTGAATATTTAATCTTACTGGTATTATGGCCGCATCTAACGTCTCGTTAGACTGCCTACATACCCTAAACAGGGATCAAGGCATTCGTAGTTCACAAATTCCAATTCTATTAAACTTTGATATTTCTACACATAACTAACAATCACCATCTAGCTTCAAACAAGTGTATTACATTAAATGCTTATTAAATTTAGTTCCAGAACATCAAAATTAGCTTAAAAATACGGCGTCGGCTCCCTGGTCACGCGCCGTCATCGGTGGCGGTCGGCCGCACCGAATTCGCCGGAAAATATCAACTATCTCCAAAAATTACCAAATTTTACAAGAAAGTAGATCTTAGTGAGAGGAACAACTTTCATACATACGGCCAAGCCCAATTTGTCTAGGAAACACCTCAAATCAGCCATGAACCGTTGGAAACCCTTGAATTTGTGAGTGTTCAATTCGACCTCAAAGTAACTCCGACGCCCCTAAACTTGTTTGGGCTTTGTTCCACACCTCAAAAGGAGTCTAATGGTGGTGGAATTGGACTTGAGTAGTTTCAAATTTTGCGTAATTTGAACCCAAAGCTGCCGCACCCCACCATGCGAGTTCTACCCATTTCAAGCTCAAATCCCATGATTTTTTAGGTGTAGTAGGAAGAGAGAAGGTTATGAAGGGTTTTACAATGGTTAACTTGATGTAATTCACCAGAAAAAGTGACCAAATCCTACCAGAAAATCACAATAGGCCCGATCGGGTCGGGTCGGGTCCTCGGGTAGCGGGATCCCCTGCTCCCCCTTCTCTCATCCCCCATTGGTCCTCCTTCCTCTCATTTTCCCTCCTTTTTCTCCTTTCTATCATTTTCTTTTAATCACAACCATCCATTTTGTTTCTTCCTTTCATACCAGCCACACACGTGGCTTTTTCACATGGCTCCAGATTTTCTGGAGCCTTCTAAAGATATTTAAAATTACCAATTTATCCCTCACTTTAAACGTTAATAACTTCTTCGTTCTAACTCCGTTTCACGAACAGTTTGCGCCTACGCGTTCGTAAGATAGAGCTCTATTCAAAAATATAAATTTTGACCTCGAAAGGTCTACGTATTTTAAATAATTAATGTCTAAACTTTAAACCTGGTAACTAGTTTAATTTAAAACTAAAATTTTATGAATTAATATAAATTCTCAATTCTTTTCACATATTCATAATTATGAATACCAAATTCATATATTTAAATTTTCAGGGTATTACATGAGGCGCAAGGGAGGGATCAGTCATGGGGGAAGAAGATAGAAAGGAAGAACAAACAAGTAAAGGTGAGGAAGAAGGATAGAGGGAAAAAGGGGAAAAGGGAGATAGGCTAAAAGAAAGAGGAAAAGGGCTGCCGCTAGCCCCAAGCTGGAGCAAGGGGCTGGCGACTGTGAAGCTTCTAGATTAGGGTTGGTTTGGAAGGGTTTAGAGAGAGATGAGTGATTGTTTTTCAAGCTCTCAAAAAAAAAAAAATATTCTTTTCTTCTTTTCTTTTTTCTTTCTACTCAATGAAGAAAGTTGAGTCGTTGAAAATTCACCATAAAACTAATTGATAGAATAGGGAGAAATTCAATTACTTAAATATATGTCATGAAAAACGTTAAGGTTTTACCATAAAATCAACTGGCAATATGGAAAATAACTCAATTGCTTATAAGCACATACTACATTTCTATTTTCACCAATGTGGAACTCTTATACTTTCACATCTACACACATAACGTTAAATTGGCACATGATTGCCACCAAAACAAAAAATTTAATTGGCACATTATGCAAATTAGACAATATCGACAGTAGTAGAGTGAAGGAGAAGTAGTACACTTAGGGTGCGTTTGTTGCACCGGACTATCTCGAACTGGACTTATTTCAGGAACTAAGCTGGATTGACTTGGACTAGACTAAGTTGGACTAACTTAGTAAGGCGTTTGGTGCAGTGTCGGACTAACAAACTAATAATTTTCTTTTTCTTTTTCCTTTTCCTTTTTTCGGAACACTTCCCTTTCATTTCTCTCATTTTTTTCAGAACTCTATTGCATGAACACTCTCTCCCTCTATTGAAAATAGGTTAGTTTTTCAGAACACTCTCTCTGGGATTTGTAATTAGTGATTCGAATCTGGGTTTCACAATTCGAAGATTGGTTTTGCACTTCCACCGAATCTAGGTTTTTTTATTCCATCGAGTTTGTGTAGATGTGCACAAGACTAAGATGAAGCTATGGTTGCAGATGGAAGTGGGCGTCGGCAATGGTTGTTAGCCTGCTAAGTTCTCTGTCTTTGTCTACCAGCGAAGGCCTAGGCGAGCTTGGAAATGAACAGACGACGACAAGAGCAGAGAGAGCA